TTTCAAATAACAACTCCAAGTTCCATGTTGCTAAACATTTGTTTGCACTAAGACATCAAGTTAGAAACTAACTTGCCAGCTTTACTCATAGTTATGGCTATTAAACATACAATTGGAGGCAGTTTTCAGCAGACTGAATTGGGTTGACATAGAACAATTAGAATAGAAGAAACCTTGAATGCTCTTCTACATCATCTCTCTCCTTTCCAATCAGGATTATATTTTATCCAGATGAATTCCTTCCGATTTTCAAAGACCTCAAGAAATATCATCAAACCCCGTGGTAGCCCATGTTACAGTGTTTAAACCCATTTCACATTCAGAAAATTTTTCCTCCAGTTAATGGTAATCTGAGTCCTTCATGGTGTAGTTGAAGGCCATTTCCTCTGAAAGGATGAGGAACAGCTGTTCACCATCTTCCTCCATACTTAAAGGCTTACTTAATCACTTTACCACTGCTTTCCTTTTCATTTTTTTTTCCCAGTGTTCTTTGTTCTATGAATGCTATTCAGATTTGCTTTTGCTGTACAACCTTGACATAGATATATATTTGATTAGAATCAATTGTAAATATAAGAATTAATACAGTGTTTTAAAATATGTATTAACATTTATATTTGGGCCTATTTTGACTTATTTAGTTTGTTTTAATTTGAATGCCATTTCTGCATGAAATTACCTTGGTTCTGCTGTCGTTTTTTGAAATGTTATTCTGAGATTGTCTCTTTGCACACTCAGAAATATTTTAAGTTTTCAATATTTTCCTACATTCAGTATTAATCCTTTTAGCTAAAAATATTTTATAGTCATTTTTATGGTTATTTATTTTTATATTTTCTTACATCCTTGTTCATTTTTGTACAATATTTGATTTTTTTTTCTACACAGGAGCAGTCCTCATAATAAAAATATATATATAATTTTTTTATTCAAGTATTTAGAGATTATAGCTCTAGGTTGCTAATTAAACATATCCTATTCATTGTAGAAAATAGGAAAACATGAAAATAGGAAGAAGCAGTCTTTCCTATTTTATATTATTTATAGATTCAGCAGATAGTAGCTCTGCCTTGGAGATGATTTTCACATTAATCAAGGTCAAATCTAGTTGTATGCTAATTCTCCTTTAAGTTCACTAGTGAATCCCTTGTCTCTTCTATTAAGTGTTACCACCTACTAATTTAGTCCAGTTCTTGAGGTGGAGTCAAGTAATATGGAAAGAGACAAATAATATGTAAAAGGATAATGTTCTCTGAAGATTACTGAGAAAATAAAAGGAAATTCATATCCTGAGAATTTTACAATAATACTATTTAGCCCAGCCAACCTGCACTGCCCAACCTTGTCTAGGAAATGTTAATCAGTTTGATGATGAGAAGCTTAGTTGCAACAAAATTTTAAAGTTGTGCTGAAATGAAGCCAGGTTAACTCACATGATACCATTCATGCTATTAAGTTTGCTTTTCTATCACAGAAATGTTAAAATCTCAAACAGTGCAATTCTGATAGTATTTAGTGTAACAATATTTTTAGTCAAAATATGTATTTTGTTTTGATTCTGTATTCATTTTTAATTCATATGTTACACCAAGTGTTATTTTAATGAAGTATTAGAAATTTGCTTATTAGTAAATATACATGATCTTTTAATCAAGAACTATTGAACTAATTTACATGGATGAAGAATGCTTCAAAATTAGATAAATGACCGTTTTGTTACTTTCATAAAATTTTATGTAATAATACATTTTTATGTATTGATTTTTTCCTTGCATATGTTTAAAGTATTTTATTTTCATGTGAAAAGTATTATTATAAACTGAAGTGCTTCATACATGTTCTATTAAAAAATTTTATTGAGTTACATTAGAAAATAGTATAGGAAAGCGAGAATATAATGTTTATATAATATTTGCTTTAGAAATATAAATGTAATGACATGTCCCTAATTAAACCATCAATATTGGCGCTTTACTTTCAATGTTAGCTCTATTTCTCTACTCTATTTGGCATGTTTTCTTTCGGAAGGTTTGGTTGGTTTAAAATTTTTTGTTTTTTTTTCTTTTCCTTTTTTAAAAACTGAAGATGAAAAATGTTAATTTATAATGGTAAAGAGCAGTTAAATGAATGAAATGTGTATTTGGAGAATTAATGGCTTTCCACTTCCTTGTAAAATGTCCATATTAACTCACTCATATAATCCATTTGCCTTATAAATAGCTAGTAAACATTTGTTGAATGCCAAACACTATGTGAGACACAAAGGATAAAGCTGCCAAACACACATGCTCTCTGCTCTTACGGAATTCATGGTTGTGGCAATGCCTATACTGTATGATTCTATAACTGATGCCAGAAAATATAGTACCACCATGTGCCTTTCCAGCCTGTGAGTGGCCCTAATTCTCTGCATCTCTAGGCAGGTAGATTGTTGAAAACATGAAGGCCTACATGCCAAAGGTACAAAATTTTAACATTTTTGTTACTAATCATTTCACTGAACTATACATATGTATGTATATATAAAAATAAAATGAAAATATTATGATATCTATATAAAATAACTCAAGTATAAATAAACAGCATTGTAATGATAAAACTAGACATGGTTAAAAGAGTATTTTGTATAAAGAAATCTATACTTCAGTGTATAAAATAGAAGTTTATTCATGGTGTATGTGTGTATACATACTGTTTATCTGCAGTTCTCTAGCTTGCTTTCTTTTTGTATCAGGGAAATTAAAATTAATATAATCCTTTGTTTCTTATTGAGCATAGTAGAAAGAATGATAAATGATAGAAAATTTTATGTTTTGTCTTATCTATCTAAAACTGAAGATACAGTGTTTTTCATTTGCTGCTTCATTAATCTCTCCTTGAAATTTCAACTTGGATGTTTTTATTCATTACATACATATGTATGTATATTGAAAGTATGTGAAAAAAGAGAAAAAAGATCCTAATATAACTGGCTAATTCATGTTTTTCAATAGAACAGTTCATAATTTGGTTAGGACAAATAAATTCAATAAAGTGGTTAATCACAAAACAAAACCATCATTGCTTTTATTGTATATTAACAAAGTAGATGAAATATATGAATAATTTTCTTTGAAGTTTCTATATAAAAATACTCTTAGAAATATAGATGTGAATAAGTCCATTCACAAGCTAAAAGTCATTTTAGCTTTTAATCAGCTTGCAGTTTTCCCCCTCAGTACCTAAGTTACCAACATTAATAGCCAATTAGTGTTATTTGTTTAGCTATCAATGTGAAAATTTGAATTAATGCAATGAAAACATTTTAAATTGTTTTTAATTTTTTTCTTGAAAGGTTTTCTTTGAAGATATTTTCAGTATTAGATTGAACAGCAATAATACTGAATTTATTTGCTTATTTATATTTTAGATTTGAGAAGTGTGTGAGAGCTAAAGAAGATTTGGAGACTGATCTTTATAAACGGTTTGTTCTGGTGCTGAATGAGAAGAAAGCAAAAATAAGAAGCTTACATAAATTGTTAAATGAAGTTCAAGAACCAGAAAAGAACATTGAGCATGAAAGGTATTTCACCTTTCTGTTTGGGAATAACTGATGCATTAGTTATCCCAAACTCAGTGGAAGTTGGGCACAAACATTTTAGTAATATGAGATTATATGATAGTCTCGGGTTGGAAGTCCTGACCTTTAGGGTTGCAGTGGACTGAGAAAAGCTCATCATGATCACACAGTTTGCACACTTGTCACACCTCCACTTAAGTCTTAAAATGGCATGAGGTTTATCCACATACTTAAATCTTATATATCGCTAAAAAATATACTAAAAACCTTAATCTGTAAACTACAGAGTTGGATGCACATAATACTGATATTTAAGCAGTGGATAACTTTAGAATCAATGGGTTCTGAGATTTGATGTATACTTGATTTTTTAAAAAGATTTATATTTGTGCAGAGAAGAATGGTGGTGTAGGCCAGAGGTGTGGGGAGTGAGAGGATTCACCAGAGACAGAATGGGGAGCAGAATAGGCAGATCTACTGAAATACACTGCTGAGGGGAAGCAATGACAGGACAGGAGAGGTCTGCTGTGCTGTGTGGGTTTGGTTCCAGTCCTGGGCTCCAACTTTACTGCAGTGGCTGGTGATAGCTTGATAGTGCTGAGACTTTATCCTATGTCACCAGGGAAGCCCTGATGTATACATGATGTATACTTGATTTTTTTTTCATTTTTTTAAAGATTTACTTATTTATACATATTGAACTAGGGTACAGGCCAAACATGCACGGGTGGTGAGAGGATTCACCAGAGACAGAACAGGCAGATCGACGAAGTACACTGCTGAGGAGAGCAGCAGGCCGGTCAAGAGAGGGCTGCCATTATGTGAACCCCTCCGAGGTTGGAAATCAAACCCATGCTGAAGCGGCTTTAGCTTCTTAGTGCTGTGTTTTAACCCTCTAAATGACCAAGGAGGACCCAATGTATACTTGATTTTTAAGGAAGAGTCATAGGTAACTTATCATTGCTATGACTTAGATAATAACAATGCTTTAGGATGTAGAGGATAGGATATAACTTTGGGTCTAATGCATAAGCATAGGTTTACAAACGGTATAACATTTGATGTCAGATGTTCATATTTCTCATGAATGAATTAGAATCAGTCCTTTTACTGTCTTCTTTAATCTTCATAATAAAAATTATGGATGTGAAGGAGTACAAATGAAAGATATAACTGCTTAGATATCAGTAAAATTATTAATTTTCTATGACCCATCGAAGATAATTGGAAAAATAATATTTTCATAATAGAATGAGTGATAAACTGATTCAGGAATTACAGTGAATAATAGATCACATTTAGATTATTAGGTGAAAGAGAAACTTTTTTTAAAGATTCATTTATTTATGCAGACAGAACTGGGGTACAGGCCAGAGGCTCAGGGACGGTGAGAGCCTTCACCGGAGACAGAATGGGGAACAGAACAGGCAGATCAGCTAAGTACACTGCTGAAGGGAGCAGTGGGTGGGTCAGGAGAGGTTTGCTGCACATGTGGGTCACCTTCGGGGCAGGGATCGAACTCATGCTGGAGTGGCTTTAGTTTCTTAGTGCTGTGCTTTTAACTAAACCGCTGTGCCATCAGAGAGGGCCCAAGAAACTTTTTTTTTTAATTGTGCCGACATTGGTTTGCAATATTGTTCATGATTTAAAGGAATAGGCTTACACCTCTTCAGATGTATGTTATTACACCATACCTACCAACAAAGAACTCATAATTGTTCACCACATCACACTGGCCTCCCCTTCCTCTGCTCCCTACTTCTTCCACCATGTGCCTCTAGTAGCTTCAGTTCTGCTGTTCTATTTCTAGGGTTTCTTTTGGTTTAGCTTTGTGTGATTCTCTGTTTTGGAAAAACTGGTTTTTAAGAGTTAACATGCCATCTGTGAAGTGACTTTAGCTAAGTCATACATATTTCAATATATATTATTTATTTGAATATTTTTGCACACATTTTCCTTTGCTACTTACTTGAAAATATCTAGCTATTGTTAGGTGTTAGATATAATTCTACCTTTCTCTGTTTCTAGGGAAACTGCAACATGTTCTGAAGTAACTGCTGACAGAGATGCAATCTATGATGAAAGTACTGATGAGGAAAATGAAAATTTGCCTGATCCCTCTGTGTTAAAGCCAGGTAAAACACACACATGTATGTTCTTTGTTGAACATCTTAGTTGGGCATATCACTTTAAAGATACTAAATCAGAATATAAAAGACTGTAAAATTTTCTTCCACAAAAATCCTCTAGGAATTTTTGTCTTAAACTCAAATACTTATGTTAAAAATTAATGTTTATTTTTAAATAAAGCAGTGATTTAGTAACAACAAAGCAAGAAAAAAGTACTACTTCTTAAACAGGGTTTCATGCACAATATGCAAGATTTATCTTCAAGTTAAGTATTTCCAGCTCAGAACAGATCGCCTTTACTACTTGCGATCTGTCTAGCTGGAGTGCTCGATAGGTCTGTGAATGATCCAGAATGTTTTAGATAATCCTGAGGTTGAGGCTCCCTCTTACTATTCATAAACAATATATAGTAAACTGAGGCATTGGAACAGGGCAGGTAGAAGTTTAAAGTACTTGAGCCCTCAGGTCAGGCATCCAATGTTTATGACCCATGGATGATTTTTAGAATTTTATAAACTTCCTAGAGTCAGGAACCCACCCCTGAAGTTACCTTAATCTTAAATGCTTCTGATATATTCCAACTATTCTTTCAATAAATGTTTATTTAGTAAACACATTTTGAGTGCTTATTATGTACTAGGAACTTTTCTATGTAGGTGAGAGTAACATAGAAACATTTTTGCTTTCATGGAATTTAATCTCTTGTCATGCATATACAATAAAAAGATGAATATTAAGTATAAAGAATATTAGTGATAAATGCTAAAGAGAAAAATAAACTGGTAATGGATAATAGAAAAATGTCAAGGTGGGAATAAGAATGTGGGTTGTGATTTTATCCAGGTCAACAGAAAAGGCATTGGTGAGATGGTGACAAGACCTTCTGTGGAAAGAGCAGGCATAGGAGAAAAGCCAGTTAAGTAAAAAGACTCTAAGGTGGAACTTCGCCTGATTTTTCAGGCTATAGCACATAGGCAGTATGGGTAAGGTGGAGAGATGAAGATGGGGAGAATTGGAAGAGTCAGAGAGACCAGTATATATGTAGGACCTTACTGGGCCATTGCAAAGATTTAAACTTTTCCTTGAAACTGTTCGAAGATTTTGAACAGTCAAATGACATGTTTTATCAAGATTGATCTGGCAGTTATGTTGAAATAGAGTAGAGAATGATAAGCACAGAAGATGCAACAGAAAACTACTTCAAAAGGGAGTGAAGAATGAGACCAGAGTTGTAATAGCAAAGGTAACAGCAGATTCCAGATATGTTTAGAGGCAATAGTATTGCTAATGAATTAGGTATAGATCAGGAGAAAAAGACAGACACCAAGGATGATAAGGTTTTTGGAATAAACTGCCGAAGACATGCCATTTACTGTGTTTCGGAACTGAAGGAGGAGGTTAGGAATTCAGTTTTAGGAACATTCAGTTTGGACTTTCCGGGGGACCTCTAACTGATGGTATAAGTAAAGATAGTAATTAAAACTGGCGAAACATCAAAAAAGTTAAAAAAGGGGATTCAGACAGAAGGTTGTGCAGAGGTCAGAAAGTTGACCACCAAAGAAGGGTAGTCATGAAATTTAACATGAAATTAAAGTGAGAGGATTCATTTAGCTGGGGGATATCATGCAATGACAAGAAAAGAATGTTGAATAAATTTTTAGAGGTATAAGAATGTATAATTGCAGGCAAGGATACTTATTGGCATTCATTATATTAGCTGATTAATCTGATTTCAGTTAGATTTGAGTTGGATCACAAAGCCACATAAATGCACACTGTCACTTTTGCATATCAAAGTTAAATTTCCTTTATATGGGGTTATACTTGTTTTCCACTAGTGACCCACTTAAAATGAAATCATTCTTTAATAATCAAATATAATTAGAAGTTCACAAAGAGAGAGAATCTGTACTCTTTCCAATTTAAGCATTCATAGTTTTTATTATATACAATGTCCTTTGATTTTGTTCCTTATTCAGAATATCTCACCAACCTTTGAAGTAGATGAAAATTATTGTTGAAGAGAAAATATATGGTTAAATGTAGGTATATGAGAATGGGGTCCTTTATGTGTTCATTCTATTTTAAGCAATGTTTTAAGTTATAATTGTACTGCTCTCAGTTTGGCAAAATTTCTCTGCTCTTCAGAAATGTTTAGTTGCGCATTTTTCTATATTTTACATGACATTTTTCCTTTAACTCATATCTAGTTCACTAAATACTTGATCTGTAGGATTCTGATTCTAATTTTTTTTGTATTTGACTTGCTTTCATAAGTTTTTGATGTCAAGAATTAAGAGCATTTTTATTAGACATTGTAGCAGTCCTTTTATTTCTGCTTCAGAATGACGTTTGAGAAATTCATATTTGCTTAAGATCTAAAACACATGATTTTTGAATTAAGAATTAGATTTCATATCTCTGAGGGAAAACATTTGATATAACAGCAAAATGATCCTTATTATAGCTTACCAGATTCCATAATTCATTCTTTCACAGAGGCAAAATATATTTTTAACTCATGGAATATTTATTTTAATCACTACTTTGTTTTCTGGTATTTTATAGAGTATTACTATGTGTTTGGGACAGTATAGTGAGAATTTCTTCCTGAACTAATTCTGCTACCTTAATCGTATTTTCTTGTTCTTAGAGTACAAATACATATGAATTTATTTTAGATATTGTTGGTTCATGTGTACCTTCCTAATCATAAAAGCAAGAGGAGAGAAAACTGAATGGCTATGTTAAACAGTTGATGAATACTGATATAGTAGCTTTTAAAAATAGAACAGAATCCAAAATTTCCAACTATATAAAAGAGCCTGTTGCTTTGAACAGTGAATGTCTACTCACAGAATGGATAACATATACTGCCAAAGGGATTACTCAGAAATTCAGCTTTAGAATCACAGATTATGCCCTTAATTTTATCCAATTTGTTTATCATAGACACATTTATTTATAGATTCTAAAAATAAAAAAGCAATTTGTGTGTATTTCCTGGTAATATTATGAACTTTTAGACATATCAGCAGTGCTGCTTAAGAATGACATATACTTCAAAAATCTAGACTTTATTGAGTTTTAGATCTTCTAGTTCACACCCATTAGTTTTCAGATGAGGGAGTAGAGGCCTCTATTTAAGATAGAGTTTGGACCCAAGTACTGAGGAAATGGTCACTGATGCAATGCAATAATGAGAACATTTTTCTCCTCTAGAGAAGAGAGGTCTCATTCATTAATTCTATAGATAGTTAGTATCATCAGATTCAGCCAAGATTCATGATACATAGCTTGTAGAGAAAATTCCAGAATGTACATATTTCTATTAAAGTCATCTTTCTGTATATATTTTCATTGAATATTATTAGGATTTAACATTGTGAACATTTAAGGTATAAGTAACTGATTTGATACATTTATAGATTGCAGTATGGTTACCTCCAGAGTGTTAACTAATGTAGTCACATATTTATCATTACTTTTTGTGGTGAGATCAATTAAAGTCTAATCTCTTACTAACTTTGAAATGTATAATACAGTATTTTTGGTTATAATCTCAATGCTTTGCAGTAGATTTCTAGGACTTATTTACCTGCTAGCTGCCACTTAGTCTCCTTCAGCAGTGTCTCAATTCCCTCACACAACCCTGAAAACCAATGTTCTACTGTTCTTATGAGTTCTACTTTTTTAGATTCTACATGTAATGATACCATACAATTTTCTCTTTATCGGATTTATCTCCTTCTGTATATTAATTGCTGCAGATTTTGACTTAGTTTTTCATTACCTGCGAACGCTCGAATGACTAAAGGATGTTAGCAAATCTATCATTTTTCTCTATTCCCTACTATTAAAATACAATTTTGATATGATCTAGACATCTGCTTTATAGTCATATAGTTATATAAAATACAAATAGGCTTGTGTCTGATAAGTTCTTATAGAGAAAAAAAGTAAATTCTGTTAAGGATATTCATCTTTGGCTATGGATAAATGAGGTTGACAGGTCCTTTTCTCCAAAAGTAACTATAAATCTAAAACAGCAAAAAGTAATAAATATTTTTAGTGTTTTGAAATTCAAAAAAGTAAACGGCACAATGAAAAGTGTGTGTGCTTGAAATTTAAATAAAATTTAGTAAAACTGGAGCCTGGAACTCTTTCTGGGTATCCCCATTGCTGTCCCCTACTCCTCAGTCCTGAGCTCAGACCAGTAGGCAAAGCATATCAGGAGCTGGGAGACGGTACAGGTTGGCAGTCACTGTGAGTGATCAAGGAGAACTCTGTCCGCTGACAGTGGAGACTGATAACCATACCTAACAGTGTTGTTGGTGGAATTTGGTAGCATTGGGTTAGTGGGTTGAATTAATTTAAAGCCAGAAGTTACATTTCTACCATCTTGCATCAAGCATCTATACCTAAAATTTTGTCAACTTGACAAAAGTGTCATCTATTCAACATTTAATACCTAAATGAGAAAAAAAATTATATGATTGTTTACTTAAATAATGTTTTTCTTTCCTAAGTAATTTCTTAATCTTTTATATACTGATATGTATGTGATGAATGATGGGTGGAATGTATTACAAACAAAATTCTCAAAATTAGCAAACTGTAAGGTATTTTCCTGTAGCCATTATTATTCTGTGCAATTGTGAGAAATCCTGCTTTAGATGGTTTAGATTATAGAAATGCAAAGGGAAAAGGGGAAGTATCTAAAGAAAACAAATATTTTCCTAGGAAAGTCACTGTATGTCTCTGTTTTAAGTAGATTTACTAAACATGAGGGGAAGTTTGTATATAATCAAGGATCACATAGTCTCAAAGTATAACATCAACCCAGGATGTTAAACCATATGACCTGCAGTGAGGATGGTTTAAAATGATGTTCTTAAAATTATTCGTGAGAAGAGTATTGATTTAAAATTTACTTAGGACAAATGTTGGTTGATTTACCTAACACTGATGTTCAGAATTGATGGAAACACTACATAATTCTGTG